CAAGTCCCTCACATCCTCTAAAAATTGGTCATATGGGCTGAGACTTTTGAGAGTTGAAGTCCATTACATTTGGAGAGCCAAAGGTTTCTTAAAGCAGCAAAAAAAACCCCAACACTATTATTTCTCCCTCAAGCAATGCACTTTGTCTCTTTCTGAGTTTTAAAACTGCCAAGACAATGTATGCCGCTTAAGCGACTGAGAGGGGGAAAAAAGGGCCGGAGGCTGTTAAGGAATGGTGGGAGTTGAAGTCCAAAACACCTGGAGGGCCAAAGTTTGCCCATGCCTGATCTACACTGCAGAATGAATGTAGTTTGTTTGTTTTTTTGTCGTGTCAGGAGCAACTTGAGAAACTGCAAGTCGCTTCTGGTGTGAGAGAATTGGCCGTCTGCAAGTCCGTTGCCCAGGGGACACCTGGATTATTTGATGTTTTTATCATCCTTGTGGGAGGCTTCTCTCATGCCCCTGCATGAGGAGCTGGAGCTGATAGAGGGAGCTCATCCGCCTCTCCCTGGATTTGAACCTGCGATCTGTCGGTCTTCAGTCTTGCCGGCACAGGGGTTTGACCCACTGCGCCACCAGGGGCTCCACAATGAATGCAGTGCTGACACCCCTTTAACTGCCAGGGCTCAATGCTATGAAATCATTGGAGCTGCTGGTTGTTGTTTTTGTTTGCTTGTTTTTGTTTTCCCCATGCCAGAAGCAACTTGAGAAATTGCAAGTCGCTTCTGGTGTGAGGGAATTGGCCATCTGCAAGGATGTTGCCCGGGGTCACCCGGATGTTTTGATGTTTTACCATCTTTGTGGGAGACTTCTCTCATGTCCCTGCATGGGGAGCTGGAGCTGACATAGGGAGCTCATCCACACTCTCCCTGGATTCGAACCTCAGACCTGTCGGTCTTCAGTCTTTCTGGCACAAGGATTTAACCCACTGTGCCATTGGGGGCTCCTGCCAGTTGGTGAGAGAAAGGAAAAGACCTTGCAAAACTGCAATCCTCCTGAGTCCCTATATTTGAGTCATGGCAACAAAGTTAGTTTCAATGTGCATTCATTCTACAGTGTAGATACACTCTGAGACACTCCAAACCGGCCAGGCAGGCCTGATTCAATTTGCCCAAAAAGCCCTGGAAGTCCAGCCTTCCTCTTCAAGGTCAGTGCGGCCCAAAGTCACGCCTTGCTTTTGCCCTTTTGCAAAGGACGGTGCAGGGAAAGAAAAGGCACCGTCCCTTTCTGCTCTTCCAGCCAGCAACCGAGGGGGTCTGCCTGGGATCCTTTTCGCCCTCTGAGATCTATAAAGCGCCTGGCATTGAGAGGGAGGCAGGGGGAGGGCCTGGCAGGGGATTTGATCCTGTTCTCAGCAAGTGGAAGTAGGCCACGCGCGCTCTCGGATGAAAGCGCGCCTTGGAGAGGAGGAGGAGGGCAAGGAAATGTCAGTGGGACACAACTCTATTTCAAGCCGAGGAAGGGGCAAGCAGCAGCCTGGGATTCTCTGGTGCCTTTAAAGCAAAGCCTGGGTTCAAAAGAAGGTGAAGTTTAGTCTACGATAATGGCTTAAGGATGCATCTATACCAGGCATGGGCAAACTTAGGCCCTCCGGGTGTTTTGGACTTCATGTCCCACAATTCCTGGCCTCAGGCCCCTTCCTTTTCCCCCTCCGCCGCTTAAGCGGCGGAGGGGGAAAAGGAAGGGGCCTGAGACCAGGAACTGTGGGACTTGAAGTCCAAAACACCCAGAGGGCCTAAGTTTGCCCATGCCTGATCTAAACTGTATCAATACATGCCGCTTGTTGGCACCACTTGCGGTTTTGCAAAGTCTTTAGCCTTCTCTACCCCAAATTGCTGGCGCCTCGCCACTAGCAACTCTTTGCCAAAGGAGGCTTTAGAAAGACCTTGCAAAACTACAGCTTCCAAGACTCTGTATCCCAGAGCCATGGTAGTCAAACTGCATTCATTCTACAGTGTAGATAGAATCATAGAGTTGGGCCATCCAGTCCAACCCCATTCTGCCAAGAACATTGCATTTAAAGCACCCCCAACAGATGGCCATCCAGCCTCTGTTTAAAAGCTGCCAAAGAAGGAGCCTCCACCACACTCCGGGGCAGAGAGTTCCACCGCTGAACGGCTCTCACAGTCAGGAAGTTCTTCCTAATGTTCAGATCCATGGGCCATCCAGTCCAACCCCATTCTGCCAAGAAGCAGGAACACTGCATTCAAAGCACCCCCAACAGATGGCCATCCAGCCTCTGTTTACAAGCTTCCAAAGAAGGAGCCTCCACCACACTCTGGGGCAGAGAGTTCCATCGCTGAACGGCTCTCACAATCAGGAATGTTCAGATGCACCCAAAGATGATTGACCACCTGCTTGCGTTGCCCTGTGTTTTCAAAGTCCTTTCCAACTTATGGAGACCCCATCGCAGGGTTTTCTCAGACCCTTCTCAGCTCAGGTTTGCTATTGGCTGAAAAAAGTGTGACCCCCCCCCCACCTCCTCTTAAAGGGACAGTTCTCCAAAACAGACAACAACAAAAGTCAGCCATAGTAGAGTACTTGATGAACCAACTTGGACACAGCATATTATTTGAGCACACAGAAATTATGGTCCACTCTAACATGCCAGACTACACAGAGAAGCCACTGAAATCCACAAGCAGGTGGACAATTTCAACAGAAAGGAGGAAACCATGAAAATGAACACAATCTGGCCAACAGTATTTTAAGAAAACTCTAAAGTCAGGACAGTAAATAAAGAACAACACTCAAAAATAGGTGAGTTCCAGACAAGTAACAATCAGGGCCAGCTAACACCGTCCAACAAAGGCAGGAAGCAGCCAGGCTTTGAAGCTGCAAGGCCATTTAATGTTAATCAAGGTGGCCAATTGCAACATTCACACTTGCTTCAAACAGACAAGAGTTCTTTTTCCCACCCGGGACATTATTCCACAGATAAATAAGCCCCACTTGCCTAGTTTCCAACAGACCCCTCAACCTCTGAGGATGCCTGCCATAGATGTGGGTGAAACGTCAGGAGAGAATGCTTCTGGAACATGGCAATACAGCCCGAAAAAAAATCACAGCAACCCAGTTCCCAGAAATAGACACCCAAAAAAAAAACCCTATAGTGATCCTAAATACAGAAGGGGCCAGTTTGACATCTATCTCATGGAGTGCTTTGCAACCCTGGGATTTGTAGTTTGGAGAGGCCCCAGCACTCCTTGGCAGGGGAGGCCAAAGAGATGATGTAAAACTTCAAATCCCAGGATTGCAAAGCATTGAGCCAAGTGCATTCATTCATTCTATAATGGAGGTGACCCTCGGATTTGTAGTTTGGAGAGGCCCTAGCACTTTTTGGTTAGGAAGCCAGAAGATGATGCAAAACTACAAATCCCAAGATGGCAAAGAATTGAGCCAAGTGCATTCATTCATTCTATAATGGATGTGACCCTGGGATTTGTAGTTTGGGGACGCCCCAACACTTTTTGGTCGGGGAGCCAGAAGATTATGCAAAACTACAAATCCCAAGGTGGCAAAGCATTGAGACAATAATAATAAATAATATCCACAAGTGCATTCATTCATTCTATAATGGATGTGACCCTGGAATTTGTAGTTTGGAGAGGCCCCAGCACTTTTTGGTTCGGGAAGCCAGAAGATGATGCAAAACTACAAATCCCAAGATGGCAAAGCATTGATCCAAGTGCATTCATTCATTCGATAATGGAGGTGACCCTGGGATTTGTAGTTTGGAGAGGCCCCAGCACTTTTTGGTCGGGGAGCCAAAAGATGATGCAAAACTACAAATCCCAAGATTGCAAAGAATTGAGCCAAGTACATTCATTCATTCTATAATGGATGTGACCTTGGGATTTGTAGTTTGGAGAGGCCCCAGCACTGTTTAGAAGGGAAGCCAGAAGATGATGTAAAACTACAAATTCCAAGATGGCAAAGCATTGAGACAATAATAATAATAATAATAATAATAATAATAATAATAAATACCCACAAGTGCATTCATTCATTCTATAATGGAGCTGACCCTGGGACTGGTAGTTTGGAGAGGCCCCAGCACTTTTTGGTTGAGAAGCCAGAAAATGATGCAAAACTACAAATCCCAAGGCTGCAAAGCATTGAGCCAAGTGCATTCATTCATTCTATAATGGATGTGACCCTGGAATTTGTAGTTTGGAGAGGCCCCAGCACTGTTTGATTGGGAAGCCAAAAGATGGTGCAAAACTACAAATTCCAAGGTGGCAAAGCATTGAGACAATAATAATAATAATAATAATAATAATAATAATAATAATAATAAAAAAAAAAAAATACCCACAAGTGCATTCATTCATTCTATAATGGAGGTGACCTTGGGATTTGTAGTTTGGAGAAGCCCCAGCACTTTTTAGTCGGGAAGCCAGAAGATGATGTAAAACTACAGATCCCAAGATGGGAAAACATTGAGCCAAGTGCATTCATTCATTCTATAATGGAGGTGACCCTGGGATTTGTAGTTTGGAGAGGCTCCAGCACTTCTTGGTCGGAAATCCAGAAGATGATGTAAAACTACAGATCCCAAGATGGGAAAACATTGAGCCAAGTGCATTCATTCATTCTATAATGGAGGTGACCCTGGGATTTGTAGTTTGGAGAGGCTCCAGCACTTCTTGGTCGGGGAGCCAGAAAATGATGTAAAACTACAAATCCCAGGATGGCAAAGCATTGAGACAATAATAATAAATAATACCCACAAGTGCATTCATTCATTCTACAATGGAGGTGAAAATGGAGCAGGGAAAGGGGTCTCAGAGGGCACCTCCGATTCTGGAATGCAGTTTGACACCGTTTCTGGCCGCCATATGGGATCCTGGGAGCTGTAGTTTCACAAGGCCTGTCGTCTCCTCTGCCGAAGAGCCCTGGCGGTGGGTGGAAGCGGTGCCAAGGTGCATTCCCTCTCCATTGGAAGGAGAGATGCGCTTTCTGCCTGCAGAGTCAGCCTGGGCCTGGCTGGGCTTTACCTTGGCCTGCGCCTGGAAGAGGAGCCGCAGCCTCCCTCGGTGGCTCAGTCCGGCCAGGAGGCTCCGAGCAGCCGCCATATTCGCGCTGAAAGGAAGAAGCCCCGAGGAAGGAAGGAAGGAAGAAAGGCCTTATTCCCTTCTTTGCTGTATCTGATGACGCTCACATCCCTCCCCCTCCTCCTTCCACCATCTTAGTCGAGAAATATTCACTCATGTATTTCCCTGAACCATCACCACCCACCGTCCACAGTCATTCCTTATGATACACCTTATGTCTTCACTGGTTAATGTTCCATTCTCCTGTGCCCTCAGGCGATCTACCTTCCTGTGAGAGTTGTACTCTTGCACGACTAAGCATACAGCTCCGAAAACATAAAGACGCACCCTAACGACAAACTATGCTGAACTCGAAATACGCCTCCGCTTACCTACATCCTACACTCTCTTAACTCCCACCTCTGCCTACTCTACTCCTCTAAACGGTCACATGATCAGTAACACCCCCCCTTAGTGCCACATAGCCTGTGAACTCGCGGCAGCGAATTGCTGCCCACAAAAACGAAGGATCAAACACAGCAGAGTCGGCCGCCCAGGCGCGCGGCCTTGGAGGAAAGAAGGCAAAGAGGCGCGAAGGGACCGGCAGAACGGAAAGGCGCGGGGCTCGCGCGCATCTGACGGTCACCTATTTAACCCCGCCCCGCCAGGGGCTCGCGAAAAACACAATCCCAAGTCCCAAACTGGAAACCTCTAACTCATAAATGTACATAGCAGGAATTGGGCGGTCACACCTCATATTCATGTAATTTTTGGCACCATGCCACTCAAAAGGCATGCCAGAAATAACGGGAGATGCCCCAGTTTTTTGGGTAAATCAAGAGCGGAGCACTCCCAGGCCCAGTCTAACAGTTACCTCTTATGCAATTGGACAGATGGCCTTTTTGAAAGACTACAAACAAATAACCGGGCCATTCCCAAACATCCGTGTTAAAACGTGACCGCACCATCTACGAACCCACCTCACTTCGTTCATCTGGAGAGGCCCTGCTCGTGATCCCTCCCGCGTCGCAAGCGCGCTTGGTGGGGACGCGACAGGGCCTTTTCCGTGGTGGCCCCCCGACTCTGGAACACCCTCCCCAAAGACCTTAGACAGGCCCCTACATTGGCTGCCTTCAGAAAGAACTTGAAGACCTGGCTTTTCCGATGCGCCTTCCCAGATTAGGAAATCTCCACCACCAAGTCCCATAAGCACTTTATCAGAACCAATGATTGCTGCACATCGCACATCGCACTTGCCCTGGAAGCCCTATATACACCTCCTGTCACATCAGCACTTTTAATCTTGTACCCATTGCTCTGGCCCGGCCCAGTTTTATTGTGTTTACTGTATTGTGCCTGTTGTTTATTTTGCTTTATTCTGTTTTTAATTGTTTGATTTGCTTAGATTGTATTGTTGTGTTGTGTGTTGAGGCCTCGGCCTGTGTAAGCCACATCTAAACTGCATTAATTTTATATTGTAGAAGATACACTCAAGATGAGCAGTTCTGCATTCCAACCATTTATTAAGGTTGAGATGCACATCAGCTCCATAGAAAACCAATTCCTATTCTAAAAGCCAAATTAAGACAGTTTAACACCACTGGTTTCTTTGTTTCTGGCAAATTGGCAACCTTACTTTGTTTTGGTTATGTGAACCTAATACATCTAAACAATACATATAACACCACAACTTATGTTTGTTCCAGCAGATTGCATTTTTAAAAAGCCTTTCTGTTTACTATTTATTCTGCAAAGGGTAATTTGGAATTTCAAGTCATTTCTAACTTACAGCAACTCTGTTATGAGTTTATACCAACTAAACTACAAACCCAATATTCCATATGATGCAGCTGCGGCAGTTAAAGAGGGATATACTAATATAACTGCATGATGCAAAAGGGCCCAAGACTTCACGTATAGGAAATAACATGCAGAATTGAAAGGAAAGCATTTCTATCCCATGCCCTGACAGAGCACAACATGAATATGATTGGGGTCCTGAGCTGAATACATGTATGTTCTAATAAGGTATTATCTCCTGAAAGTTGTCAGGTAACTTTCCATCCAGCCAACATTTCTAGCCGATAATTGTCTATAGACTTCCATGTAAACAATCGAGTCTTTGTTCCTTGCTATCACAAAGTCCCTAATGCTTTGGAGAATTGGGAGAGAAGGAAAGGAGACTAGATATTTTAAGGACCCCATCTACATTGCCATGTATTGCAGCGTAGAGTTTTATAAACACACATATAAGTTTAACTTTTTGGAAAATGGAAATCTCCATAAACTTTTGGTGAGATTATGATCTTTGAAGAGGCATGACCCTGTTAGAAATCATAACCTTTTGAGAAAATAATGCCATTACCTTTTTTTGAAATGGCATTCACCAACATTTTGGGGAAATTAGGAGTCTCCTTGAGATGAGTTAAAAACTCATTTGAGTCAACCTTCTCCTTACTGGTAAATATCTACTAGTATTTATGAAAGGCAATTAAGTTTCCCAGATGTTAGACTGATATACCTAGATATCTTTTTGAGCTGTAAGGGACAAAGATATGCCAATGCACAAAAACACCCCCGCGCACACACATATGTACATACATATATACAGCAGAGAGTCAGAAGTGTTCTTTCAGTTGCCCGAAAACATCTACTCTCCCTTAAAACATCTTGGTTTAAATCACGGTCTCAAGAGGCAAAAATAAGGTAGACTTCTTTAAAATAGCAGTTGTTTTACTCACAAGCTTCATGTATTCAGCATATAGGTACATTGCGTATCAGTCTAGTTACTGATAGGATTTGAAGTAGTTTCTCTGTGTAGATAACACATCATCAACAGCCCATAGTCTAAAACATCTCTCTGTTCTGAGAGTGTAATAGAGACACTGTCTAGTCTGAAAGTCCAATGACTTCTGAAAACAATGTTTCTACTGACTACTACACTGTATTGTTTTTGTATTGAAAGTCTAATGGCTTCTGCCTTTTTAAAATGGAGTCTGAGTCCTGAACAATCCGAGATCTGATCACATGGTCTGCAGCCCCTCCCACAACATAAGGTAAAGGTTTCCCCTGACATTAAGAGTAGTCGTGTCTGACTCTGGGGGTTAATGTTCCTCTCAATTTCTAAGCCGAAGAGCCAGCATTGTCCATAGACACCTCCAAGGTCATGTGGCCAGTATAACTGCATGGAACACCATTACCTTCCTATGGTACCTATTGATCTACTCACACTTGCATGTTTTTGGACTGTTAAGTTTGCAGAAGCTGGGACTAATAACAGGAGCTCACCCCACTCCCCAGATTCAAACCACCAACCTTTTGATCATCAAGTTCAGCAGCTCAGCAGTTTAACCCACTATGCCACCACACACACACACACACACACACACACACACACACACAATATAGAGTGAAGGGGAAAAAATCTAATGCAGTTTGAAACTGCACATGAGGGACAGTGTAGACCCATATAATACAATAATGTTGGAAATAGCAACCTTCTTCAAGCCTCTACTAGTCATTTGTTATGTATATAATTCAGATTGCTTACTGCATTGGTATGCAGTTTTCCCACAACATAGAGTTCAGGAAAACTGCATACCAATACAGTAAGCAATCTGAATTATATACATAACAAAGAACTGCATTAGATGGCAGTGTAGATAGAGCCTTGGTGTAACCTTTCTTGTGCCAGCCAAAAGTCCCGGAAGTTAAAATACAGAATTCTAGAGAGACGCAAGGAGTTTGCCAAGTTTAGCCAAGTGGAACCATATTATTCTTATCTTTGACTATCGGTGCAATAAAAACATATTTAGATCTGAAAATGTGCTGCACCATTATTTATACAACAACTCATTCAGTAACACTGAATGCTGGCATGGCGTATCTCAACAAAAAATAAGTCACAGTGCAGACAATCTTTAAACTGGATGGGGTGATGACAGGCATGGCCTCAGACTCCTTTCTTCCAAAATGAATATCTAATGACATAAACTGTGGGTATCCCTGGTTCAGAGCTGAACTTCTACTTGGCAGACCGGTGTTACAATTTGAAACCAACATCTCATGCTCCGTCATGTGTCAAGCAATATCATTTTTCATCAAAGAGGCACAAAAGTAATTTTTAGGCTAAGCAAGATCCAAAAGCAGGTTAGAAGTTGCCCTGATGCTCAAGTTTTTTTAATGGCAAAGTAACAATCAAAAGCTGTAATAATATATGTAGAGCTTGGAAGTATCACCACCATCATTATATATTCATTTATACAGCTCCATCCGTACACATGGCACTTTACATGTGCAGTTTACAATTGTCAATTTGAAAGTTCCCGCCTGTGGCTGCTCATTTCCAGGGCCTATTAGAGGAGTGACCGGGATAATAGGTGGGAGGCACAACGCCATATTCTCACAATATCTAGGACTGGGCTAGTACTGGTTATCCTCAAAGGCTTGGTGAAACCACCAGGTCTTTAAGCTCTTACGAAAAGAGGGGAGGGATGAGGTCTGTCTTATTTCCCTTGGAAGGGTGTTCCAGAGGCGGGGGGCCGCCACCAAGAAGGCCCTCTCTCTCGTCCCCACCAACCGTGCTTGTGATAGTGGTGGGAGCGAAAGAAGGGCCTCCCCAGAAGATCTTAGAGTTCACACTAATGAGAAATTCTTGAGTCTGTGTGAAATAAGCGATAAATCATATATTTAAAATATGTATAAATGAAAGCCATTCATGACCTATGCTGTGTCCCCATACATTTGGTTTTTACAATTTATGTATGTGTCCATACCTCTGATAAAGGGTGCTTTAACCTCTGGTTTGCTAGTAAAACTGAATTACTGTGATGCAAAATGACACATTTTACAAGTGTGTCACCAACATGAAATGTTTTGAAAGCTCTGTCATAGAGAGCTCAAAGCTGAACAAAGAGATGGTATTTCAGGTCAGTAAAGCAATCTTAGGCCCCTTCTACACTGCCATATAATCCAGATTATCAAAGCAAATAATCCAGATTATCTGCTTTAACTGGATGATATTAGTTGAGACTGCCATATAATCCAGTCAGTAAAGCAATCTTAGGCTCCTTCTACACTGCCAT